GGGGGACAAGATTGTTATGGTTTGGAAGGAATTCAGGGTCGTGCTACTAAGTTACTACCTTGACTACAAGTATGAGTACAACAGGTCTACTCTGATAAAGAGAGGCGAGGTGATGCGATGCGATCGATAGCTTGCTTGATTGACTGATCGAAGGGATTGAATGAGGGCGGCTGATTGAGGGAGTGACTTGATTGTCCTCCCTCCCTCCCTCCCTCCCTTCTTTCCTTTCTTTCCATCCCCTGAGCTCAATAGTTAGTAGTAGGTAAGTAGGTAACTTAGCCACCAGAACGTCATTAATCCCCAGACCATCCAGCAACCCAACCCAAAAAGAATACGAGCACGACCAAAGTTAATAATCATGATGACAACAATCCACCACCCCTTCAACCACTAGACTGGTTCCACAACACCTGACTTGTCTCAAATTACAGGCCACTTTCAGGGAATTGGAAATCACACAACCGATAGGAAGGAGAAGCGGAGCAAGAAGAAGAAATAGAAGAAGAAGGAGCAGAACAAACAGAAAGACTTCAGCTCTCTGGATTGAAGACGGAGTGCCTGACCCTCAAACATCCGTGCCGAATGGGATCATGGATGACTCTGCCTTTGCCAACCGACAAACCGACTGACTGACTGGAGGATAAACTAAAGGACGGGCTGCTGCTCAGGGTTCAAATCTCTTCGCTTCAAACGATCATTATTTCCTTTCCTTCTTCCCTTTTTCCCTACATTAGTGTCTGTGGATCACAAGAATTGTCTCCTCCCTCCCTCCACTTTTGCTGTGCCACTTGGCCCCCCCCTGTCTGCCTTAGACTAGTTGCTGGGCATGAGCCATCAGGGCAAGTCGCAGGTCATTCGATTCTTTCCCAAGGCTGGAAGAGCGGGGAACAAACCGACAAGCCACTCACAACTACTGGGTACTGGACCTCAGTGATTGCTCCGACGCTCCGAGATTAAATTTTGCATCTTTGGGCTTTACCCTTCCGGACGATCCGGGGGAAGGAGAGGAGCGACAGAAAAGCCCAGGGGCATTTAGTTGACCCAAATGCTGGTCAATTGGTGGTGATGGTCGTGGTCGGTACCTTGAGAATTCAAGGTTCGTGAGGGGGAAGCTAACTCAGTTAACTTGAGGGTCTCTTCATGACTATAATCATTGTCGGACTTCATGCATCAAGAGTAAGAGTCAGCTAATCATGACCTTATAATTGACCATCGTACTCTGTAGTGTATGCATCCATCAATCAGGCAGCAATCGCCTATCTGGCAGGCTATTCCACCCGGCATCCGTGCCTGGGGGTGCAGTTTTACTGTTACTTCGAGAGATTCACATCCACATCTCACTCTCTCACACACACACACCGACTTGACTTGACTGACTGCTTGGCATCTGAACCAGCAATTATTGAGAAATCGGCCAGCGTCGGCGGGACCAACTTTGACCACGCGCCTTTCATGGATGGTCATTGGGTGGTCGGACGATGGCTGACTGTATGGAAAATGAGGAGGGATTCGGATTGACCCGACAATCAGAATTTCTCTCTTCAGACTTTACCTTCGGAGAGGGAACAGAGTTCAGGCACAGATGGACTGAGGCTTGAAAAACTATACCCACTGCATCTATCTATCCACCCATGACTACCGGTAGTACTGAGTAGCTATGATGTGATACGAGAATCACTGATCTTCTGGAACCATACACCCACAGTGATCAGATATGATGAACAGATGAACGAATCCCATCCTCGGGCTGAGATCATAGTTCCCCCTCAGTCCCCTCAAACACAACAAACCAACCGAGGCTAGATCGCTCTTCTCGAATTTCTTATCTTTCTTTCTCTCTCTCTCTCTCTCTCTCTCTCTTTCACTCTCTACACTTCCAGTACAGCACTGTCACAGTACAACTCGAGTCACTCTCTCGCCACACCCCATAGGGCTAAAGGCTAAAAGATGACCATATCGTCATAATGACAAGAAGACAAAGCGGGAAACCATTTCGACACTAACGAACCATAAACAGTAGCTTATTGCCCCCCCCCCCCTTCCCCTCTCCCCTCTCCCTGGTCAATGATTAATGAGGAGAATTAACCAACGGATGCGGAGAGAATCCTCGTATCTGCCCATCACCCAAACCCCAGGTAAGTTAGTTACTGTAAGATGAAGTGAGTCGGTCACCTGCCATGCCCATCCATTATGCATATCCTCGAATAAGTTGAGCATCCATCCAGTATAACACTACAGTGTACTATACAGAGATAGATAGCCTCGTCCATGTGGCCTAGCCCGCGTTGAGGGGGCCATAGGGACATCAGAGTCACTAGGTAGCTAGCTAGCTAGCTCGTCCTACCAATAAGTTACTCCTTATTGACGACTTAAGGATAATCGATCACCTTCTGCGCAGGGTCCGACAAGTGATAGTCAGTCAGTCAGTCAGTCAATCATCTCCGTCCCTTCCCCCCCTCCCTCCCCGCACGGCACACCACAACGCTCAGGCATCTCAACAACCCTTACCGACCTGACTACCTACATAGATACTCATATCCTCAACCTCTCACTTTTCTATCCCCCAGTACTCTGTAAGGTAGATGTACTCCGTAGGTCCACCAGCTATCGCTTTGCATGAATAGTCCCATGCACAATCCAAAAAAAAGAAAGCCATCCTACAATAAAGTATTCGACACGTCCGATCCAATCCGTACATCAATACCTAATCGAGCCAAGGCGATCAAGAAGAAATAACCCGACACACACCCTACCGCATTTTACCCCAGGAACCCGGGGACCTAAAGTACTGGTAGTTCGGTTCAACGATTAATTCGCGAGGCACAGGCACAGTCCTACAAGAAGGCGTGATCGGAGGCTGGTGTTCGTGTTACTGATACTACTATGCCCGGGTGCCTTCAGAACGTAAATGTGGGCCAGTGGCAACTTACCGCTTCCTCTATAGGCATGATCTGAAGCTCTTCCACGAATGCCAATCATGGGTTGTGATAAAACCGGCAGATCTCACATTATCTAATCCAGTTCCACTTTTACGTTCTCAAGGCACCTTACCGAGTACATACTACGATGGGAGGGAGGGGGTGGTAGCGTGCTCTCCTGCAGATCATCGGAGCCGCTCACATGGTCAGTTGCGCTTGAAGGGTTCGTGACAGGGCGCACACACACTGGACGATCCGGAGGATTGTAACCATGCGATGATGGGCGGAAGTCGCTTGTGCTGCACGTGGGACATACGGCGCTTGAGAAACTGAAGGTGGATGAACGGAGAAAAGTATCCCGGGGAGTATCTCATTGTCTACAACACATGCCACGTTCAGGTAAAAGGGGACAGATGTTAGGCTACTTATCAAGCTACAGGGCATCGAGAAAGACATAGCATTGTTGCCCTCCTATCAGAGTACCCGGTACTATATCTTCAGACACACATACATTAGCTGGGGGGCAGACCGTCATTCCCACTCGCCCTCCCCAAAGTGTATAGCCGGCAGATCTGCAAGACGTGAATGCAGTCAATCCTACCCACCACACCCCAATGCATCCAGAGAATTCTTTATACCCAGCTCACCAAGATGTTATCAGTCCGTCATCCCCAGCCCACGTGGTTTTTCTTGCGACTCTTCTAAAGCCCGAGACCCACACTCCCCATGTATAGTTCAACTTCAAGGGGTCGATCACTCTCTTCCCCAATGCTCTTCTCATCCCGCTGATCCATGCGGACGGGGCATCTAATCCACTTGAAACTCGCTTTGATGACAGTGCCATATAAAACAAAACTAGCCGTCGAAGAGGTAATCAACTCCGCGATAGAACGGGAACGGTTCAACCGCCCTTTCTCTGTCCAGCAGCGCCAGGCCCTGCAGTCGATGTGTTAGATGAATGCTGAGATCTCTGGCGGCCAAGACGGGGGAGGTGACCCATACCGATGGTGGCGCTGGCATTGCGCAATTCGATCTTCTTGCGTTCCATTTCGAGCTGTACGATTCATGTCAGACCACCACTGTTTGCGCAAGATCCACGAATGGCTAAATGACTCACCACCTTGCGTACTCGGGCAAGGGCAGCCGTGTCACCAGCCACCAGAGGCCGACAGTCGTCCACGCGGTATGGAGCCGCAATGGAAACTGCATCCGCCACAATGATCTTGGCCCCATCCCATCTCGCCGGCATGGTCCGACTGAAGGCGTCGAAGATGTCCTGCGCCTCCCGAGTCACGCCCTTGCCACGACGAGCCTCGCCTTCGTGCGCTTTAGCGATAGCATTGGCCTCCCGGTTCTTCAAGGAACGTATGTCGAGAGCGTGGAGGGGTGGTACTGCGTCAGCGAAGGACGGTCCGTCGGAGGCGGTGGCAGACGGGGCGAGGGAGAGGATCTGGACGGATTGTATACGCGAAATCGGGATGATCCGGTAGTCGCCGGTCTGGGACTGCTTTCCATCGGCGGTGTCAATGGCGACTAGATTCGTGATAGGGTCAGCAGTAAAGAGGGTACCCTCAATCGTCGACGCGACCGGGGCTGTGCTGATGCGGACACTAGGAGATGATGATGGTATCAGCATACGGACGAATAGCACTTAGCCAGCAGCAGGCATCGGAAGCCGCTCATGGGCAACCAAATGCACATCAACACCAGGCTATACAAGCCCGAGAAGAACAGGGAGCTTTACCGTGCGCCAATGGCGCCGCTCAATGCCACTTCCAAAGGGACCATGGCGCCTGTCGCTCCCTGGCTTGTGGCTCCTGCGGTCGGTCCTTGCGCAGATGCTCTCGCTCCCACACTTGGACGTTTGTTGTCTGCCATAAGCCTGCCTCTGCTAAAGATGGAGGGTTCGAATGAGACTGTCCCACCAGCGACAGCACCAAGTCCAGCAAGGGTCCACTATCGGGGACTATGTCGACCGAGGCGAGATTGAGGTAGAACCTAATCAAGAGGAGAGGAACGGAGACACCTGTTAGAAGGACAAACTAGGTCAGCCCGGCAATCAGACTATTGTTAGGCAATGCTGGGAAATGCTGAAACCACGGTCGTTACTAACAATGACGATGGAACTTGGGCGCGGAACAGGCTGAAGTGGGACGGTGCGGGAACCGCAGTTGAAACAAAGTCGGACAAAAGAACGACAAGACAAGGAAATGCTAAGACGGCAATGTCCATACAAAATGATACCCACCCGACTTCAACCGATTGGAATGAGAGGAAGAGGGAGTTGAGCGCCTAGAACGCCGCACATGTAGGGGATTGAAATAAGATACTGAGGAAGGTTCCAGGAAGATGGAAGATGCAGAAAGAGGTCGGAGAGCGGCGACGTTTGGCCGACCCAATCGGGATTAGCTCAGGGCGGAGCAAGACTTCCGTTGCAGCACCAATGGATGTATGAGTTCTCATGCCATCATGACTACACTATTTACGAGTGTTTAGTAGAAGCCCACATTGTGCTTGCTTGCATGATTCAAAGCAAAAGCTACTTGTTTCACAGTCACACCACAACTGTAAAAGAAAAGAAAAGGGATCATTTCATTCCATACGTTTTTAAACGTAACAGTAAGCATCTAGATACATAGTACTATGAAGCAGAATTAGGTATACTTCCTGTTCGGCTTCTTGTTTTCATCATGTCATTCCTTCACTCAGGAAGCGCATAACGCGGACTCCCTGAGCTCAGTCCAACTGTCCCCTGCTAGACCCGTGCGAGGCTTCACGTCCAGCGTATTACATCGCGTGTTTGATTTAAACAATGTAGGTCGACGCAGAGACGTTGCCACCACGGCCGGTCCAGTTGACGTGGATGTCCTTACCCTCGGGGTAGGTCTCGCTGGCGTGCTCGGGCTTGATGCGGAAAGTGTGGGCACCGAAGTAATCACGCTGAGCCTGCAGCAGGTTGGCGGGGAGGTCCCGGGTGCGGTAGCCGTCGAAGAAGCTGAGGGCAGTGCTGAAAGCAGGAGTGGGGATACCCCAGAGAGCACCCTTGCTAACGACGTTTCTCCAGCCCTGCTGGGCGTTGTGGATGGCCTTGTTGAAGAAGTCGTCGAAGAGCAGGTTCTCAAGGTCGGGGTTGTTGCGGTAAGCGTTGGTGATGTCCTTAAGGAAGACGGAACGGATGATGCAGCCACCACGCCACATGAGGGCAATGGAGGGCTTGTTCAACTTCCAGCCGTACTCACGAGCAGCCTATTTAGGTTCACGTCAGAAACTGCATATCGGACTGGATGCGGGAAGAGTCTTACCTCCTGGATGAGCATGAAGCCCTGGGCGTAGGAGATGATCTTGGAAGCATACAGGGCCTGCTCGAGGTCCTTGATGAAAGCCTGCTTGTCACCATCGAACTCGGGGGTAGGGCCCTGGAGGAGGCCGCTGGCACGGATACGCTCGTCCTTGATAGCAGACAAGCAACGAGAGAAGACGGCCTCACCGATCAGGGTGACGGGCATGCCAAGGTCAAGAGCGTTGACGGCAGTCCACTTGCCGGTGCCCTTCTGACCAGCCTTGTCAAGGATCTTCTCGACGAGGGGAGTTCCATCCTCATCGTTGTAGTAGAGAATGTCACGGGTGATCTCAATCAGGAAGGAGTCCAAGACGCCCTTGTTCCACTCGGCGAAAACATCGGCAATCTCCTTGCCCTTAAGACCAAGACCGCGCTTGAGGATATCGTAAGCCTTGCGATAAATAGTATAATTAGCATCTGTACGTGACATTCCGATCCTTGATTCCTGCAGGCTGAATGACTTACCTCGCAAATGAGCTGCATGTCACCATACTCAATACCGTTGTGGACCATCTTGACGAAGTGACCAGCGCCCTCGTCACCGACCCAGTCGCAGCAGGCCTCACCGTCGCTCTTGGCGGCGATGCTCTGGAAGACATCCTTGATGTAGGGCCAAGCCTCCTCGTTACCACCGGGCATCAGGGAGGGACCGTAACGGGCACCCTCCTCACCACCGGAGACACCGCTGCCGACGAAGCGGATGCCCTTCTCGGCCAGGTACTTGGTGCGGCGGTTGCTGTCGGGGAAGTGGGAGTTACCACCATCGATGATGATATCACCCTCCTCAAGGTGGGGCAGAAGAGACTCAATGAACTGGTCAACGGGCTTTCCGGCCATAACCAGGAGCATGATACGACGGGGACGCTTGAGCTTGGCGCAGAACTCCTCGACGGAATGGGCACCAACGATGGGCTTGCCTGTTTGTACGCCATGATGAGTTGATTTTGCTTGGAATATGATGCCGATATGAAACTTACCCTTAGCCTCGTTCTCCAAGAAGCGGTCAACCTTGGAGGTGGTACGGTTGTAGGCGCAGACGGTGAAGCCGTGGTCAGCAGCGTTAAGGATCAGGTTCTGACCCATAACGGCCAGACCGATGAGACCGAAATCAGCACTAGGCAAAGAACGCGCCGGAGCGCCGACATTGATGCCGGCGAGGCGGGCGCTGAAGTCAGTCGCCAGGTTCTATGTCAATAGGTGGGTAGATAGAAAAGAAAATGACGAACGAGGGGATTGATCCCGTTGTTTGAGAACTTCGGGATCAATGCGACCCTCTGGACCTGCGGCCTCCTCATCGTGATAATTCACAGACGAAGGGCAATTCGAGTTCATGACAATGACCCGAAAGTCATCTCGAGGCTAGTGTACGCTCCAAGATGGTAGCCGCATGGTGAAAGAGGATCGACCAATGCATGCATGAAGGAATGCAATGCATGGATGATGGTAATGATGATGATGATGATGATGATGAAGCATCAAGACAGAGGAGTGGTAGAGTTACTTACACAGCTTGGTCGGCCATGATGAAATTGTGGGGGGTGGGAGGGGAGGAGAAAATTAGGTATGGTTTTTTTTGGAGAAGAGAAGCAAAAGAGATGAGGTAGTTAAGAAGAGAGTGGGAGTGACGGAGGATATATGAGGAGAGAAGGAAGAGGGACCAAGAAGGGGAAGATGGGAACGGGGCAAGCGAGGGACCGTAAGAAGGAAAGCATTGGAAGATGTCAGAGCAGGATTCACGCAATGTGGACGGGGCTTACGGAGCAGCTCTTCCGTCATGGGTGGGACGGGAGGTTGAGTTGGGTTGAGCGGGGCAATAATCGATTATGGATAGACTAGAAGGGGAGGAAGCAAAGAGGGGAGGAGAACACCACTAGGCAGAGGGAGGGAGCAGAGTCCTCCGGTGAGACCGGCCAGCTCCTTTTGGTAATTTGGTAACTACCTACAGATCAGATATATGAATTGATCATGATAAAAGAGTAACAGAAATTAGACTACATTGCAATTGCTCAGTATTGAATTGGACTCTATTCAAATGGCTCTACGTATCCAATCATTTAATCAGTGTGAGATGGCAGTATTCATAGATACCATAGTTTCCATGGTGGCAGCTGTTGTGATAATGATGATGCTCTCTCTCTCTCTTTCTCTCCCTGCTCTGATGGCGGGGCAATGGAGGGGCACAGCAACCGGCAGCGGCACTGCAGAAAATCCGCTAGAATCCGGCCTACATCGGCCCTGAAAAAGGAATTTGTCCCAGAGTAGCGCTTTCGGTGAAGCTCGTTCGGGAACGGATAAATTGGGACCGCCTTCCAAGTCAATTCCCACTCTTTCTGCCCCCCACTCTCATCGGTTCACCCATATGCTCAAGTAAGAAGTATGTGTGTGAGTGTACGGAGTACTCATTCATGATCCATACGAGACCCGACAACCACTTAACCACTCAATCTCCCTTCATCATATTCATTCTCCCAAGAGGTGAGACCGGGATGATTGGCCATCGTCATCAATGGTAACGAACCTACTCCGTAGCTTGCCGCCAAATAGACCGGATTATCAGAGCGGATAATCCATCCCTCCCTCTAGGCTTGAAGCCGATCAGAACAATTCCCGCCGGAGAAATCTACTCCATTTCCGGGGACTCTGATCATCCCGCATCTGCTAATTAGTCTAAAGCTCAACGAAGCCGATGGGGGTTCTTTTCTCCGTGCTAGTCAATTCAGTATGGTCTGCACTTGGAGTCTTTGCTCAAAGATAGTAACTTGAGTAGTCTGTGGTCGGCAACTGCATTTCCCAGTCAGGTTTAGGGTGGGGGTCAAGTTGCATCACATGGGTTCAATCACTCGAATCAATCATAATCGGTTGGGGGTTCAGGACCACCACCACGCAGTGTGGCTAGCCTGCGCTGAGTAAGAAGATCGGGGCCAGCCAAATCATTGACTCGACTCGCCCGCGGGGGTTCCTGAATTTCGATATCATGCAGCTCGCAAGGACGGAGTATGCGTGTAGTAGCATTCACCTCACTACCAGGCAATAAGCAGGTTGTTACTTCAAGGCACTAAGGCGGTAGCAGGTTGTCCCTCGTATAGCTCATCCTCGTATAGACCGGACTGACTTGGTTTCCAAAGAGGAAACTCCCCGCTGATACGTTAGGTCGCTACGTATTCGAGTCATTCGTTGTCAAGCCTACATACCAGTGTCGAAGAGCGCTTACTCTCTCGATGGAGGAGGCTAGGCTAGCTTGGACCAGAACAATCAGATTCAAGGATTCAGCAACGATGCGTTCGCTATCTGCATGCATCGGTAGCAGGTCACGTGTAGCCGCAGCCTCTGCGGCAGCAGGGTGCAATGGTCTGTTTGCACTTTACGGCAGGCTTTTGCAGTCGCCAGCGCACTTTTTCTCTTGCCGGCTGTGTCTGTTGCTTCAGGCATGTAGAACCATCTGCCAGCCCATCCACTCACACTATCCTCACTGACAAAACCAGATTTCCATACCATTCTCCTCTTCCTGATCACCGTCTCGCGATCCCAATCAATACTGCAACCCCCAAGCAAGCTCTATTAGCGTCTATCATCAACTATATACCCAATCTTCCAGGCTGTGTGGTCTGGCTTGAGATACGGCATACGGCCTTTCACCTTCCAGTCACACATCTTCCGCACCGGGATTCGGGACCTTTTTCAGGCGTGACGTCTGGCGTATTGACTGCGACGTCAGTCAGGCCCTGAAGGTACGTGTCTGTTGCTAGTTGCTGAACAGCGCATCACACTATCCACCGTTTCTCCCTTGTACCGAATTCTCCGTTCATCATGTCCTTTCCGCCACCTCCAGGTCTTAGGCAAGCACCTTCGTCGCTCCCTGCGCGTCCGCCACCACCAGCGAGCACTGCTTCGCCTGCCACCTACCAACAACCCGCATACTCGGCTGCGCCCTCGTATGCGCCGCCCGGTGCAAGCAGCGGGTATGGTAGTCACGGGCCGTCGCGACCGGGCTACGGCGCCGCCACTGCCTTCGCACCGCGCTCAGTAGCCTCAACTCAACCCTACCGTACCAGCAGTCCTGTGGTGTCCGCTCCACCTACCTCAACCAGCGGCTATGCAACACCAACCACGACCGGCTACGGTAATTACTACCCACCACAACAACAACAAGCACAAGCATCGTACCAGAGCGCCCCGACCTACTACGGCGCCCCGGCCCAGTACAATGACGGCACCTCGTATGGCCCGTCTGTGCCACGGATCCAGAACCCCTTCCAGCCCGCCGCCGGAAGGGGCTACGGTGGCCGCAATGACTCCGGCATGGATCCGGAGACGGAAGCGCAGATTGCGCAATGGCAGAGCGCCTACGCGAATAAAGAGGAACTCCCGGCCCCCGGCAAGGTCCCTGGACGCCGAGATGCCAACCAGGGAATCGGGGCTGGGCCTGCATCCGGCGCGAACACGCCATCCGGCGCCGCCACCGGTGCCAACACGCCGGCGCCGATCGTGGGGGTGTCCGAGCCCGCGCCAAAGACAGTTGTCCGCTCCGGTGGTGGACAGAACTGGACCGACTCGACACTCTTGGAGTGGGATCCGGCGCACTTCCGTCTGTTCGTGGGAAACTTGGCGGGCGAGGTTACGGACGATTCCCTGCTGAAGGCGTTCGCCAAGTACACGTCGGTGCAGAAGGCGCGGGTGATCCGCGACAAGCGCACGCAGAAGAGCAAGGGCTACGGGTTTGTCAGCTTCAGCGACGGCGACGACTATTTCAAGGCGGCGCGAGAAATGCAAGGCAAGTACATCGGCTCGCATCCGGTTCTGCTCCGGCGGGCCACCACCGAGGTCCGGCCCGTGTCCAACAACAAGAATGGGAAGAAGCACGGGGGTGGAGGCGGCTCGGGTGGGGGCAGTGCTGGTGGGGGCAAGGTCAAGCATGATGGAGTCAAGAAGCATGGAAAGACCAAGGGCGGACTGAAGATTCTCGGATGATCGATGGGGTTGATTGTACTTTGTACGCAGGCTCTCGATCAAGTAGGCAATCCGATGACGACTTCTGCTACGACTGGGGTACATGATAGAAACCTGAAGCATCCTGTGATTATCGGGTAGTTCAATTTGTACGCAATATACCCTTATCCTCCCACTCGATACGTCAACACACATGCTCAAAACATACTCGGTAATATATAAAAAATCCCCCAAACCAGAACACCTAGGGTCGAAACCAGTCCACCCTTCCTAAGCCCTCGAAAGAAACCCAAGCAAAATCCATGGAAAACCGAGTAACAATCCCTCTCTCTTATAGACGGACACCTTCCACCTCCTCAAGCCCCTCAAGCCTTCCAGCTAATCCCTCCCCCGTCGTAGAGTCAACCATAATCCCATCATCCATTGCATCATATCATAAGTCATAACCACATTCAAAACAACACAAATAACCAAGCCCCAATCCAGCAGGTGCATAAATATACCACAGAAGATTCACGAACAACTCGACTCGACTCCAAGAAACACCTTTTCCAGCGAGCGCGCGATAACATCAACCGAGAGAAAAACCCATCAACCGAAGTTAGTGAGGAGGGGGGGGGGGGGGGGTGGGTGGAAGAATCACCCACCCCCGCCTTCCTCCCCGCTCTCCTCATCGATAGGCCGTTTCGGGTGCGTAACGCGGTTCCTCATCGTGTGGATGCCGTAGCCCGCGATGGCGAGGATGATGAACAGGACGATGATGATCACCGCGATGGCGATGTTTTCTTGCATTATTGCCCGTTGTTGGTGGAGTTGTGGTTGGGTTTGGTGGTTGTTGGTGGTTGGATGGTGAGCTCTGGGGAGCTGAGGTTCCAAGTTGTTGTGGATGGGGTGGTTAATTGGGGTTGCGGTTGCAATGTCTCATGGGATCGGTGGACGTAGATCCGATGTGTAGGTAGGTAGGTAGGTAGGTGTTTCTCGATCTGTGCGCACGATCTGTGGAGGACGGATCTAGATTTTGGGTCCTCAGGAATGTATCTATGTGGATGGGGTGTCAAGTCACCCGGAAGATAACTTATATTGATGGTATGTATGTATGGGTTTGGGATTCCAAGGGAGGAGAGGAAGATGGAGAAAGTAGAATGGGGGAGGGCTGGCATGTTTGTGGGACAACTTATAAGTTAAGGTTGTCCACACACAGCAGCCAGCCAGCCTTGAGTGACCATTGAGTGAGGGAGTCAATCAGTGCCTGGACAAGTAGACTAAGTGTTCCCCAGCCATGCTGTTTTTACTTCCTGGCCTTGTTTATTGCGGGTGGCTGGGGAAATGCGGTGATGCGGTGATGCTAAGTTGCTGCGTTGCCGGCGCTAAGGCTCGAGTTGGTCAAGGTCGGTGGTTGATGCTATTTCGGGCAATCAGCTTTAGCAGTGGAAAGTTAGCTCCAAGTTGATTGTTTACTCTGGATAGGCTATAAACTTTCGTCGGGTTGTTGATCGGGGATGTTGGGCTATAATGTACGGAGTACTGTACATCTAAGTACTATATATCATACCCAGGTTGTCTGCAGTGGAAACACAATGAGGTATGAGCCCGCACAGTTTATAGGGCTGTTGTCCACTCGGACAAACTGATACTTCCATAGTACCTCATCTGAGGTCGAACAACTCATTCAAAACTAGTCCTCCGAATGAGATTGACACCCTTCATCATCATCGCTCTCCTCATCCTTCTTCGTCTTCACCGTCTTCCCTTTCTTCTTCCCCGCCCCATTCATCATCTCCATCAGCGTCTTCTGTCCCTTCTTCGCGCCCGATCCCTTGGCTGCCTTCTTCTCGTCCGCCTCCAGCTTCCGCATATACTGCTCCATCTGCTTCTCCCGCATCTCCTTCCCCTCGTCCGCCAATCTCGCTTCCAAAGCTCGGAACTCCTCTCCCTGCGGATCCATGCCGATCAAAGACTCGAGAAGCGCAATCTCCTTCGCCCAGACACTGGGATCGGCGACCAGCTTCCCCGCAGCACCGGCTGGTTTCTTCGGGGCCTTCTTCTTGCCCTTCGCCTGCCCAGCCTCCCCATCCTCCTCGCCCTCATCCTTCGTTGCAGTTTTGGCTTCTGGCCGGTCGATCGGCGTCTCCAGGATCATGGGCACCCCCTCGAATCGCTTCTCATTCATAACATTATGAAATGCACGTAGACCCAGGAATCCCGTCCCAATGTTCGCGTGCAGATCCCGTTTACTACCGCGGGGCGCTTTCGAGTCGTTAAGATGGAGGGCCCGGAGATGTTGGATGCCGATCAAGTCCTCGAATTCCTGCATAAAGGCCGCGAAGCCGGTGGGGCTGACAAGGTCGTAGCCCGCCGCGAAACTGTGACAGGTGTCGATGCAGATGCCAATTCGCGGGTGCAAGTCAGCAGGGATTTGGGCGAGCAGATCCTTGAATTCCGATAGGCAACCACCGATCGTGCTGCCGTGGCCACACATGGTTTCGAGGACCGGGATCACGGTCGTGGTGGCGCGGAGGGCGGAGGTGAGAGCGGAGGCTAGTCGGGTGATAGCACTGGCGTGTGGGGTAGAGTTGGCAGAGCCGGGACTGTTCGCACATCATCAGTGTTCGTGTTGTAGAGGTCATGTGTGCAGAGGGTACGCAGAGCTGGCTGGCTTACTGGAAGTTGTATAGTTGGATGCCCAGAGCTTCGCACCGACGGAGATCGTCGAGGAAGGAGTCGTAGGCTTGCTTGGCTTTGGCTTTGTCTTCTTGGGCCAGGTTCACAAGATAAGAGCCGTGCGGAAGGATGTGTCTGGATTTGAGGTAAGTTGGGGGCAGATGACAGATTGGCGTAGGGGTGCTCACTTTGCTGCATCATACTTGTGCTCTTTACACATGGCGCGAAATTGATCTCGATGGTCATCCTGAAGGGGTGGGTTGTCCCATTTCCTTTGCGACTTGAGGAAGAGAGCAAATGCGTTTCCTCTGACGTCTCGTTAGTCGATGGCCAACAAGAAGGAGACTCTATGGGACTAACCCTATGTGCATGCTGTTGTTCACCGAGTTGAAAACGCCTGTACCAATTATTAGTACCAGGATTACAATTCATAAGATAAACTGGAAGCCAAGTCGACGCACCTTTGGCTGCGCTGACATGCGCGCCGACAAGCATGCGCAATCCCTGGGTCCGAGCTCTCAAGGGCACCATCTCGGCTTCTTTTGTTTTCTGCTGCCTGGAGACCTTGGCCGTGTTCGATACCTTCTCCTCAGCCTCTTCCTCCTTCACTGAATTGACGTTGTCTTCTGTTGGTGCCTTCACAGTGACCCTTGTCTCAGTCTCTTCCTCCACTTCCTGCTTAACTGCGACGGCGGCGGCGGCGGAGGCGGCTGCCTTGCCTAGACGAGCTTTGTTGTTTCTCGAAGTCCCTGGACTCGCAGTTTTGACCTCACTGCCAGTTTCCAAGTTAATCGGAATCGTAGACAGTGAAGCAGCAGAAGCTCCAGCTGTCTTAACGCGCTTGGACCGACGAAGTGGGGAGGTTGGTTCGCGATCTTCGCGGATAAGCTTGCGTTTTTGGTCTTCCGGAGAGCGCGGTGGCGAGACGGCGACAGCGCTGGATGCTGCTTTGCGAGCACCGCGAGGAGGCATCGTACCTTTGTCTGTCAACAGCGAGTGGGACTCAACAATTATTGGATGATATTCGAAAATGAAGTAGTCCGATGGTTAGACGGTGGGTCGACCAGAACTGTCAAAATTGGCGGTTTGGCGATATGGAGACGCGGAGCGGAGCGGACTTTGCAGGGTCGAGGCCTTGCGTTACTCCCTTGGAGGCAGCCAGTGGTTCTGTCAACGTAATACCACCATGATGTCAAGGGGAAAAGTCTAGACCACCTCCACATAGCTACAGATGATTGATACTTCTACATCATCTCAGAACCTTGCAGGGCAGTTATCTACTCGATACACACTAGAATAGAGGGCAACCAACTGGTGGCAGCTTCAATTTTGCCCTTCTAGGACTAGCGTGCATGTGACCGGTTGTCAGGGCAACCAAATCCAGACTAGCGGCTGTTTATCGATAAACTCGATTTGCGTCAACTTCTTTCTGCTTTGGCTCCCTTGCAGCCTGAACCGTGTCGACCATCGCCCTTCATCGCCCTCCACCCACCAGCAAATCGCCGACAACAACTATAATAACGATCCAGATACCGCGGGAACGACCCTCTCAGTACACATTCGGAGTGGGCGATCCTTATCTCGCTCTCCATCGCCGCCATGGCGGCCTCAAACGACTTGATCGACTTCGATATCATCGAAAACCAGAAGGAGAACATTCAATCGCTACCAGGGGGACGATCTGCTCGAGAGCTAGCCCGGATCTTCAGTCCCCGAGAAACGACGGACAAGCTCGCCGTCCCATCGCCAAATGAGACCAAAAGCGTCAACGATGCTATCAGACAAGAATATGAGGCGGAGCTGCAAGCCATTGACGAATCTGATGACCCCCTCGATGTTTACGACCGATATGTGAAATGGACGCTCAACGCCTACCCCTCCGCCCAGGCCACACCGGAATCCGGGCTTCTTCCTCTTCTCGAACGCGCCATGAAACACTTTCTCTCCTCCGCACACTACAAAAACGACCCCCGCTACCTGCGGCTATGGCTGCAATACATCAGACTTTTCTCCGACTCACCACGGGAGACATTTGCTTTCTTGGCCCGCCATCGTATTGGTGAGAGCCTCGCGTTGTTCTACGAGGAGTTTGCGGCCTGGCTGGAGGGTGCGGGGAGATGGACACAGGCAGACGAGGTCTATCACCTCGGTATCGAGCGCGAGGCTCGGCCAGCAGAACGCCTGGCTCGCAAATACCGCGAGTTCCAGTATCGTTACGAACAACGGACGCATGACAGTGGTCCCTCGTCCCCGGCCTTGCCCGCTGTCCGCCCAGCCTTGGCGGCCAAGGTTGATCCTTTCGCGTCGGCTGCCCCCGCCTCGCCCGATGCCCAGGCCGAGCGCCCGGCCCCCGCCCGCAGCGCCGCCCCGAAGACGAAGTCCGGCAAACCGAAGATGGCGATCTTCTCCGACGCCGACGCAGCAAGCCAGCCGGCGGTCAGCGGACCGGCGCAAGGCTGGGACAGCATCGGATCACTGCAGGACCGACTCAAGGAGAATAAGGTGGAAGCGAAGCCCTGGGCGGGAGAAACCTTGAAGGCCGGAAAGAAGCCCGTGCCGAAGGAGAAGATGACGATCTTCCGGGATGAGGTATGTGCATTTCCCGATTCTCTCTGACTTCCAGATATTTACGATCGCAGGACTAATTGGTGGCATGAACCCGGGTTGGTTTACGATTAATGTATTCAGTCAAAATCCAAAATTCAAGTCAAACAAGATGTTCCAGATGTCGTGCCAGAGCACCGCGTAAGGGAAGCGATCAATCCACGTACCGGACGCCGGGAACGCGTTTTCGTCAACCTCGATGCCGTATACCCTGATTATAAGAACCCGAATCATGAAGTTAGCTTCGAGGAGCTCAGAGCGATGAGGCGGGGGTGGTTGAAGAAGGACTGGCGGGTGCCTAAAGTGCCTCTCAGAGAGATTCCCGGCAATTCCAATGCCGAAATGCCCTCCGAGAATCCCCTCGAACATGGCATAGAGAACGTACTACCGGATCATTTCAGGCAGAAACTGACCGTGAAGGACAGAGAGACTCATGCGCAGGAGCACGGTGAGGCAAATGCTGTCCAGGAAAACAAGACCAAGGCACGAAAAATGAAAATGCGCGAGGTCAAGCAAGAAACTCAGACAAGTAAGCGTGTTTCCTCGAGCCTACTGATGCTTTGACGCTCAGAGACCCTAACAACCTATAGTCAAAATGAAGTTTGATTCTCCAACTGGAGGCAGCAAAGTTCGTCGGAAAAGCACTGCTGAGCCCACCATGACAATGCACACACGGGCTGCAACAGACGAGATTTATAGTATATTCAACCAACCACTGAAGGCGGAGACCGATCAAGCGGCCGAGAGTGATTTCGATGATGATGACTACACAAGCGCCGGGGAGAGCACTGTGACGGGGCATATTTCAGCTGCATCTAGCGATTTCGGCGACGATGAGACGACGACCTTCCACAAGTCATTTGACGACGATGGGTTCGAGGATAACACACGGGCGGAAAGTGTTATCGATGGTGAATGGACACAGTTCTCTGCTTGCGACGTCCCCGACGCCCACACGTCTCATTCACTCGTTGACGAACACCCCTCCTATGACAATAGAGAGAATGAGACTTTTGATGAGAATGCTGGTATCGAGCAACCTGAGAGGCAACGATTTGTCCCAGAGATGCCCGAAGATTATGTTGCTCCCTACGGCACCTATCGGGATCCTGCGATGGTAGCTCAGAACCGCTTGCCTTTCATGACGCCGATCGTTGAGCAGACGGAGTACTCTATTTCAATGACAGCCGCGAGGGCCCAGATGTATAACGCAAAGACACCCTCCAAACCGCAGATGGGGAACCTCTTGTCAAGTCCGCTACTTGGTACCACCACCCCCCACCACGAGGACCATTTCGCCGATATCCCGGAGGATGTGACCATCTGTCCAAATGTGGACGAAGTGCGATCTAGCATGAGACTCACGCCTCTGAGTGAGAGCAGCCGACAGGAGCCGGTTATCAAGCAGCTGCAATGCAGTCCCACGAACAAAGACATTCGTAACACCATTCTTCATTCCTTGCAGCCGCCTTTGGCTTCCTACCCAGGCTATCACAACCACCCACAAATGATGACCCACTACGGCTCCGAAGTCCAGAGATTCTTTAAAGCGACTAGCAAGCGTGGGAAGAGCGGGGACGAGGCGGCGTTTGACTTGCCCATCCTCGAACTACCAGGTGCTGACCGAAGTTATATCATCCGACGAGAACTTGGTGCCGGAGCTTATGCCCCCGTCTACTTCGCCGAGAGCATTGAAGGCCTACCGTCTGACTCAGAGAGCGAATCGACAGGCAACTCGAGCAGAGATTCCCGCAGCAGAACCGTTTCAAGCTACAACGCCCCGCGCCATGGATTTGAAGCCATCAAATTGGAGGTTGGCCCACCGAGTGAATGGGAATTCTACATGATTCGCGTGGCACACGACCGCTTGAGCCGGAACCCCGAGCTCTCTCGCGCCACCGACAGTATGATCCGGGCTCATGAGCTTCATGTCTATCGGAACGAGAGTATCTTGGTGGAAGACTACCGTGGTCAGGGCACGATTTTGGACCTGGTCAATCTCATCCGCAGCGAACCAATTTCGCCAACCACCAACAGTGAGGGTGGAATGGACGAGGTGCTGGCCATGTTTTTCACCGTCGAGCTATTCCGCACCGTTGAAGCTCTGCATGCAAGTGGGATCATCCACGGCGACATCAAAGCCGACAACTGTCTCGTTCGCCTCGACGACAAGCCTGCCCTACCTCCCTCCCTGATCGACCTGGACAACGACTACGCCGACCCGCGCGAGGTGCACTATTCCCCGCGGGGTCACCACGGCTGGTGCAACAAGGGCCTCTCGCTGATCGACTTCGGCCGCGGCATCGACATGCACGCCTTCTACCCGGTCGTCCAATTCCTCGCCGACTGGGAGATCAAGAGCCACGAGTGCAACGAGATCCGCGAATCGCGGCCCTGGACCCACCAGATCGACCTCTACGGCCTGGCCGGCACCATCCACGTCATGCTGTTCGGCAAGTACATCGAGTCGATGCCCGTCCGCCGCAGCGAGGGTTTTTCGGCGGGTGGTACTGACTCGGACCGGCCCGATTCGGCCACCACCCGCACCTACCGCATCCGCGAATCCCTGAAGAGATACTGGGAGCGCGACATCTGGACCGACGTCTTCGACCTCCTGCTCAACCCCGGCGCCGAGCGCTGGGCCCAGGTCGAGCGCGCCAACCGGAACCCCGCCGCTGCCGCCGGCGTCGCGGAAGACCTGACCGGTCCTGGCCCTGCACCGATCCTCCCCGTGACCCACTCAATGAAACTGGTGCGGGAGCGCATGGAGGCCTGGCTGCTGGGCAACGCCGAGAAGAAGGGCCTCGGCTTGCAGCTCCGCAAGCTGGAGGCGATCTTCGCTGAGCGCAAGAAGAGATTGGAGAAGGTCTAGTGTCTACCTTTCTGCGGTTCTGCTCTATTCTTTCTTTGGTTGTGGATGTCGCATGATCTGAACACATACCTCACTCACCTTTTAGTTTATACCCCCCCTTTTTCAATGCTTTTGGAATTCGCAGCGTTGGCGTTCTGCGGTGGGATTGTGTTTTCTCGGTTCGATTGCCTTTTTCTATTCTGGTACTACTAAGGTTTTGTTCCTTGTCTGTGGGATAGTGCTACACATCTCAATAATTCTTACAAATGTTACCATCCTCAGCAGTATTCTACGTATTCGAACCCCCCAGTTTATTTGAATCAATGAATTGAGAAAAGTAGAATAGTTATGCGTATCCTTCGCAGGAAAAACAGCCATAACTCAATCTGAAATGCAGATAATCTCTAGAGATAGATAGAAAAGAAAAAGGGTGGACATTTCAAAAGAACCAGACAGACAGTCTTCAGCTTAAGACTCGAAAAGAGAAACAAGACGAAGAAGGAGACTGAGACTTTCACTGTCGCACACATGAGATAGAAAAGAGATAGAGCCGGAAAAAAAAACGCTAGAACAACAGATAATGGAGGCCATCTTCGCTTGCTTTGCTTTCCATGTACTGTTATGTGTAAAGACACAAATCATCCCAAGCAGGAAGAGTCAAATTTGATGCAGCATTGATCGTTTCATCTATCGCAACACAAAATAATCATTTCAGTCAATAGCGCGTCTCTCCGTTCCAATCGTCGTCGTGCATTTCCTGTGAATACACGCGGTTTCGTTGTCGTGGCAAAAAAGAAGTAGATAGATCAGATCGCACAGGAAGTCGATGGTCGGTGAGTGAATTGGTGGGGTTGGTGGTGATGAGATGATATTGGAAAATGATATGGAAAAAAAGTAGGAAATGGTCAAAGAATGAATCGCAAGGGAGCTGTTAGCTGATCGTAGCTGGTAAGCTGCCCTATTTGGCAGTTGGAATTGGTAATGAGTAGATTTTTCAGGGAATGAATGTGGTTAGGTAGGTTGAGATTGCGGGGACAAGAAGGAAAAGAACGAGTGTGTTTGACCGTCAACAGCGTTGAAGAGAGACCTGCATGGTGGCATGAAGCTGGATGCCAATGAAGTTGTCGGAGCTCTTGGTGGATGTGCAATGCTGCAATCTCAAAGGGGTAAGTCCAAATAGGAAAACAACGATCGATTTCTGTCGGTTGGATTCGTTTTAGCCAAGTAGGCTGGTACACCATAGTCTCGGTTCTGAGCATAACAGATTGGTGGATGCCGCTGGAACAACGCACATGGATGCACTTGAGTTGATATTATTTTTCGGTTTTCAAATTTTGCCAGTGTTGAAGAACTTTCAACATGCAGAACTCTAGGAGTTCAAGATAAGGTCATAAGATTCGTCAATGCCGTTTCTGTCATTATTCTTTAATCCAAAGCGATCAAGTTCGCAACACGTCGTCTAGGTCATTAGTGAGGCAACGGGCACCAGCATCACCGCCTTGAATAGGGCATATTGAGGATTTGCCTGCGAATTCGTTCCGCATCCGATATACCTTCTTCCGTCGGGTCAAATGGGAGTGGGTTGGTGATCTCTGGTTCCTTAAGTGGGGTGCCAGAAACGCTCGGTCTGAACTGCGGGAGCAATCCACTTGCGAACGGGTCGGAGAGGGACGGTGCATGTCGGACGAACCGAGGCGAGGGTTCGGGCCGTTTGGCGGCCTCAACCTTGAAAGGTGAGCCCAAGCGCTTGATACTGTCTCCAACCAAATTAAGAAGTGGATTGGCAGGCTTCTCCACGAGGCTATCCTCATTGCGAGATGTTGATGACGGGGGAGAAAATAGCTGATCAATGCCCCTAGGGTTCACCGCACTCATTGTCGCTCCGCGGTTACGGATCCGGATCCGACGTTGGTCCATGTCGTTCAGCTTTCCTTGGCGGACAAGCTCCTCTAACTGGTTCCGTGTATCTTGTTCTACAGGAGTTTCTGCGGCAGGCGCATTGCTGGCGATAGTGGCGTCGTGCTCAGCAGCGGGGAACACAGGTGGGGAGCGTAGCCGGGAGCCCGTGACGTGGATCGTATCCCTTCGATTCCTGGGCGTATGGCGCTGGAAACGTTTTCTTGAGCTATGAGGACCCCATGTATTGTATGTAAATGGGGATCCGAGCCGAGGTATGCTCTCCTGCTCATTTACGTTCGCATGGGTTCGCGCAAGTGGTTCTATGGGTGCTAGCTGCGCAACCCCTGATATGGGGGTGTTGAACCACTCATCATTCTCCTCCGGCAAAGAGGAATTTTCCGCCGTGAGTTGAGCGAGTGGTCCATGGACTGAGTTGGCCACAAGTGACACGCCCAGGTCGCGTGTTGCATACGCTGTTGAACTGTTGCTGTAGCCGTCAGCCTGAGAGGCTTCTTGTGAGGCCCGTGTGAACAAATCGTAGAATGGTGTCGGGCTCTTGGACTGCATCATCCGCTGATAATGTGGCGCGATACAGAACTTCTTTCGGCACAGGAGCTTGAGCCTTCGCCGGGTTGACGCCTCTGACTTGGGCCAGAGTGGTCTTGCGGCATCGGTTTTAGGGGTCGGGGTTTTGTCTCCGCCCGAACGTGACTGAAGTATGGCGAACGGAAATTGCTTGTCCAGTCTAAAGCGTCGTTTCTCCCAGGCCCGCTTTGCGTCGCGTGCAACTCGATGAGTGACACCCAGGGGCGGAATACTGCCGGGGGTCATCTTGAAGGGAGTGATTGTAGGATCCTGAAGATACAACTGATAAGTATTCCAGAGATGATTATCCATATCGATTGTCCAGCGCTCCTTTGCTGGGAAAGCCCGGGGTTTGTTCTTGAGAGCAGCACGCATCGATGGCGTCTCGGTAACATGCTTGGGGGGTAATTCGAGATGGAAAAATGGATCGTACGAATCGCTTTCTATGCTCGTACAGCTTCCACCCGCCGAGCGTCGCGACCCGAATGTTTCGATAGATGAGACGGAAGAATCCGATGCTTGCGAACAGGCGGATCCAGGTCGCTGAATGCTTTCTCCAAGAGTACGAGCATCTTCGGAAGACCAGCGCTCGGCGGATTGATTGTCATGATCCGGGCGGATTTGAGCCGGAGGGGTCTTCAGGGCTACTTTGTCCCGAGGGGGCGCTAGAAAGCGGTCATCCCGCGACGGAATTGTCGGGCCTCCATTGACTACAAAAGCATCATGGGGCGTGGGGAATTCGATAGAGGGGAGAGGGATATCGGAGGGGTTTGGATAAGTCGTGCTGAGGTCATACTCGGCTTGCGCAAAGACGTTGGTTCCGGAGCGAACACGAGATCGGCGAAGGCGACAGCTGGAATGACGAGGCGGCGGCGGCGGGACATCTAGGTGCGCTGGTATGCGCTCGGGTGTCCTCGGCTCCCCTATGCTGGTGGACGGGAAAGTAAAATTCTTGGGCAGCGTGCGCGAAAGACCCAGCTGTCGAGACTCCATGGTAGACAGGTGACAGTCTCGTACAGTGGTACTTGGTGACGGGCTGGATCGCGACAACGTGATCCAAAGAATTAATACGTACTCTTAACAATAACACTTTCTCTAACACTATAACATGTCGCTCGTCTGCGGAAATGTTATGCGCAGGAAACGAGATATCCTCAGCAGGAGTCAAAGCGCTAACCGGGAGATTATAGATGGCGCGCAGTGTACGCGATCCCAATTGATCGCGCGGGAACTCAATCGTGGTCGATAATCCTGCGTGAGCCGGACAGCCAGGTTCTGACGGTATCCAGAATGAAGGATAGAGCAAAGAAAATCTTTCTAGCAAGTAGTTGGACGTCTTGAGTCAAGATTCAGGGAGATGGACTAAGCGCGCTTTGGGGGGTTCGGGGGTCGTAAATCGTAACAGTAGATGAGTAAAGAAAAGGAAAACAAGGTGCGTCAAGGTGTGAGTGGTCGATTAAGAGTTGTGAGTACAGTGATGTGAGGCGCGAAGGTGTGGAATGTAACGATGCGCTGGAATTGAGACAGAATCACATTGAATTGTAGCCGCGCTCCATTGCCCGATCGTCGATTTACTTGAAGTATGGGGAAGAGGCGGACATTGACCACACGAACCCGAAACCAACAAAACACGGAAGGGAAAAAAGAGGAGAGAAAAGTAAAGAAAAGAAAAGGAGGAAAGGGATAGTCAAGGACGAGCGACAGGCTCTATCGGAGAATAAAGGAAAAAAAGAAGAGGAACACGTAGCTGGGGGGAGAAAAGGAAGTGAGTGGGAGAGGAAGAGAGAGAGGGGGAGGGTGGAGGGTGGAGGGTGGAGGGTGGAGGGAGGGAGAGTCGGGTGGTGAGAGGTGAGAGAGAAAGGCAAGGAAGGAAACTAACTGGTAAGTTAAGTTAAGGAATAAGGGAGAGACAGCCGAGGACAGAAGCGGTAGCCGCCCGTACAGTACCCTTGGGTTGGTCGGGTTTGGCGGACTGCTACCACTGAGTTAACCACTGTAAGTTGACCACTGTAAGTTAAGCTAACAGTGGAGTTCTTCCCACCACGTCAAGTCCACCCTCCAGTCCCTCCCTCTTTTAGGCTCCGGGAGAGAAGCTCGATCCTCTGCTTGCCCCGTTCCATGGATCCCACACGGACAGACATGCAATGATGCTATGACCATCACATCTCATGTCATGTCATCAATCCAGTGATTTCCTGCCTGTTTTTCTTTTCTTTTTATTTCACGATATGTAGCCCCATACCAGAAGAAGAAGAAGAAGAAGAAGAAGAAGAAGAAGGAAAATGAGACAAGAAATAAAAGTAATAAGAAAAAAAATGACAATCAAAACCAAAGAAGGACAAGAAAAGTCGCTCGTCACATTGGCTCTGGAATGCGGAGAATTGATATGCTGGACATGCTCGTGTGAGCCACTCAGCGGCAGGAATACTATATTATGCTGACCCCCTTTTTCCCCTTTCTTCCTCTTCCCTCTTGTGTCATGATTGTTATTCTGTCTTGTTCTTCTCTCTGGTAATTTTGAGTCTGCATCAGTTTTCTTGATTTGCCCTTTCTTCACAATTTGCGGGGCAGTCTCATTCCGACTTCTGACTTGTACTGGAGGATGAGGCCGTCATCACCTGCGTCAGAGGATGAAAATGATGCTGGATGTAGATTGATAGTGGGCGAGGAAGATCCGCCTCACCGCGTTGCCCAACCGTCCCTCGGAACGGGCAGAGAAAAAATACAAAAGAGATGTGCGCCTGCAGTGCCTGGTCGAACAAATGACAATTCTGCTCGGATGGGGCAAATCGTTGTTGGCCGCCCCCCCACTAGAAGTGTCCAGGACTGTACCTTAACAGACTAGTCGTCTAGTGGTGACTCTAGTCGAGGTACTGTACCTTTGCACGGGCTGGGCTGACATCGATCGGGCCATGCCCAATAAATTAATTTCCCCATTACTCTATTCGCAACATTGCTCGTCCTCGACCCTGCAAGGGTGTCTCTCGGTGTGATGCCGTGAGCAGGCTTGGGTTTCCCACTGTCGGGTGCAGGGTGCAGTGTGGCCCGTGGTAATCTCGCTGTACTACCAAGTAGTATCGGGCTCCTCCATGTTTTCTACCCCTTCTGCCTTCTAGGTGATGTGATGACAAGCTTCACGGTCCAGAAGACAGACTCACGAGGGGTAGTTATCAGCGGGTCCTCCATTGGATCGACAAACCGTGCTTGGAACCCGCCAGAGACCGAAATAGCAGTCTCGACTTCATCCTAGTCTACTCCCTAGTGTGGTAGAAAAGTCGGGTGGCTGGGAAGGTATTTTGTTGGCCTTGGGGTGGTAGGCAATTGCTGCTGCTCGAAAGAAATTATTGCGCCTCGAGGCCTGCAGAAGGTTAGAGGACTCGAGACTCGGTGTCTGTGTCTGTGTGTTAACGGGGAGAGGGAGAGAGCGAGGGAGAGCGAGTTGGCGAACACTCTCCCCGAAGGCGAGAACTCCAGTCTCCTGCAGAAGCATTCCCCACCGTCAGGCCAAACGAACCCCGATGCACTGGGCGTGCATTAGCGACCCCAACCAGCAGCCAGTAGCATGGCGGCGGTCGAAATTGTGATCAAGCACTAGTTTGAGTGGTATGGTTAAAAGGGATGAGTCGGTGGCAGTGAGCGAGGAGACACCGGTAGTAGATTCTTCTAGTCTTCTCTTCCTTGTACTGTACCGTCTGTACCACAAGACGAACCCTTACCTGAAACCACCATGTAATCTATAAAACTTTCCAAGCAATGTATGTGTAATTTACCTGTATTGCACATAGGTAGTGCCATTCTGTGCGCCGGAAGCACATGGAACAGAAACTATCAATCAGTAATTATTGATATCAACTATCATCTTGGTGCTTCAAATACATATTTATGAAGGTTCAATGTATAGGAAAGAGACTTGTAACTATGTTGCCCATCAACTCCTCAAACCTATATACTGATGAGCGCCGTATAACTCAGGACTTATTGAAATTCTACACCCCAAGTCCCGTAAATGTGTCGGTTCCCACGAGGAAATCAACAATTCCGGATGACGCCTGAAGATCTTCCTCCCGAGACTCGGCTTTGTCTGGATTAATCTACTCTTCTGTGACGCCTTCCCCAAAATCAACGATGCAAAGGTTGTTATCGGTGTCGACTTAAATATTGTCTGGCTTTGTGTCACCCTAAATGATCCCTGCGGCATGTAGCCGTCGCATCATGATTTGGAGCTGATCTGCCCGAATATGCCGAGAAATAGCATCTATATCGATATCTGCTGTAATGCTCGATGTATTTAAGCAGAATTCCCGAGTTGCTGGTACTGGTATAATCTCCCTGGCCGTACACCAGTTCATATATAATCGAAATACGTACAACATCTAAAAGACCCCTAGATCTGATCTGAACCAATGCAAGTATCTCACACTCGGCTTGCTCACTGCAGTAAGTAGACTTAAAGAATCGATTTGCACCAGATCCAACCGAGACCTTTTTGGGCCGTCGAGGAAGATGCCCCTCTGTCTCGTTCGGTAACAATATGACTCTCCAAGCTTCGACCAACGAAGTTCCGCGTTCTACAACACCGGGGAATAGATCAGCCTCCGGAGCGAATTGTCCTATAGGCCGCTGATTTACCGACGACTGAACATGGAACTTCCCATTTAGAGTCTGTAGGGTAAGACCCAAGGTTTTTATGTCGAACCAACCCTGCAGAGTTCGCACTCGAGGTTTTCGCTCCTCCGAAGATAAGAGCTTCATGACAGAGTTGCATTTGGGTGCGATCCAGAAGCAGATCTCTTCCATACCTCAACGCTTTCTTCTTCATCACTCTGCTCCACCGCAGCATCCTGCGAGTCCAATTTGTGCAAAAGAGCCAAGTCCTGTACTGTGGTCTTCGAATCATCTTGAAAATATTTGGCGGAGACTGTGATGTGAAATCGCATACCGTAGTATAGTATCGTCAACTCAGTATTGGTGCTCGCGCCGCGGAAGAATTCGAGCATTATCATATGCTGGTAACCCCTTTATATCTAGTAGCTGAGCGACCTAAGTTATGTCAATCGGTTCAAAAGGTAACTATACATCGAAGCCAATATCAATCTGACAGTAAATCTCCAAGCGACGATGGACGAACGTGACATGGCTATCGTACCAAGATAGTTGGATTCCATGTGCGAACAACCACGATGCGCTCAAGTGGCGATGTCTGTGGAGTCGCTGTCAACTTTCAATACTTGGGGGAAAGTGGGACTGCTGCAAATGCAATCAATGTGGAGATGGATCCCCTTATACAGCAGAGGAAGTTGCAACCATGAAGTATGTAGGCAATGCAGAGCAGCAAGATCATAGATCAAAGGTAAGTTAGTTGGTGTATGTACTGTACCTTACAAAGGTGATATGAGCTGTAATGATATGATATTGATGTTGTTGGCAAATTATATGACCCGACCTGATATTCTTGTTGTATGTATTATGACTGTAAGCGGGCAGCATTACACGCCCATCCGGAATGAACTTAAGGCATCTGACTAGTTAACCGTAGAGGAACTAGTTCAAGCACAGGACCTATACCCGATTGAGCTTATCTGCATATTCCGACGCGTGCCAAGGTGGGGTAAACGCGACCTTACCGCGTGATCGACGCGTATCCGCGCGTCTGTGTAACAGAATGTATATGACTTGCTTTCCACCACTCGCAACGTGCCGGTCTCAGTACGGAGATTACCATCTTACGCAGTACCGGCAGGGTCTCGGTCCCTGACTACTAAAGAGACCAACTAACCCTCATAAGTTAACTACTGGGTAACGTTAGCATTCACACCACTTCAACATCCCGAATACTTGATTCTCAAGCTCCAACTTGTTGAGACACCAAAATAGATACTGGGCAAAAAAGCAGGTGGCTGGGGCTGGGGCACTTCGGCCCAGGAACAAGGAAGAGAGTCCACCAGAGAGTCTATGGAAGACTATTCTTAGACACCGCTACTATGAAATCCACCACGCTAAGTGGCCTAGAAATCGATGTGAAGGAGTATGAACGGACTACATACTAAATAAGTGGAAGTGGGGACGTCCCCAACCCGATCTACCCATAGAATCAAAGCAGACTTTCAGGAACCAAGAGCAGTGCGAACCTGGGTCAGGTTCAGATCTAACCCGGACACTGCTCCCCATGTATCAAACAACCGTTACCAGACGTTGTCGTTGTCGGGATCTGGTTGAGTTTGGCTCTTCTATAGATCTATTGACTGGCTGTCCTTCCCGTAAATCATCATAGAACGCATAGAACGCCGCATACTACCCATGCTAGGTACTAGGCAGACAGAAGAGAGTATATAAACACAAGCACGAAAACTCCATCTAATCCCTGGCGATGACCCGATACTCCTGCCTCCACCGTTGATCCATTAAGCTTATCAGTCCTCGTCTCTTCTGCATGCACTAAGTAGTCGAGTATATGCTATTTTACTATAGACAACGCTTGATACTAGATACCTACGCCCAGTACTCTATACCCCAACCCTAAGCAGTCTACGGTTGACAGGTGATCCCAAGGATCGTGTTTGTGCATATCACGCACTCGTCAACAGGTCCTATACTACATGTTGATTCTCCAAAACTACCACATCGCAATGCCATCCCCGTTAACCCCTGGCAATCGACCATTATACCCTATCTCCACGACTACGACAACCTTTACCGGAGCGTAATCTACCCACCTCCTGTGTGCTTAGTTTATCTCCCTAAGTCCGGTCCAGTACGGGACAGGACATGTACTGTACATGCGAGTGCATACATCGAACCAATAACCACCACCACAACTCCGATCATCCCCATCCGACATCCAGAGGAAAACAACCCACGGGCCAACTGCTCAGCTATCCTAATCATGCACGCATCCCACAGAAGCCTCAGTACTCAAAAACTAAACCTCTCCAGCAAGCCCCCACCTTCCCTCATCAAGTTCATGTTTCAGCAAAATCGAATCGCCTATGCTATGGATGTAATCCCCAGTGTGCCCGCATTCGCGGGTCTGACGGAGTCAAAGTATGTAGCATCTGCTCGGCAGTCCCGGTAGAGGGAGTGCTGTACGCTGAGCTCATCACATTTATGGGGGGACACGCGCTTTATGAGTGATTTCCCCCTTTTGCTCTTGTTTACCCACGTCATAAGTAATGCCGCCCCCGAAGTTCCACAAGCAGATTCTTGTTGCGTTGGGGGGTGGAGGCGAAGGAGAAGTTCGCCGCATTGACTTACTGGATCCTGCTTGATGGTCCGCTAACTATCCCTTGCTTCAGGTGGGTTTCACTTCTCTCCTTGAGTATGTATGAACTTGCGTCATAATGGTGTTATATGTCAACGGTTTGTGCCGGCCTGCTACTGCACTCCTGCAGAGCAACCGAAACAGAAGAGACATGTTTGTTGTCTTCGATGTTTGTACAGTACATGTGTTGATTTCTGCAGTGGATAGCGTTCAAGTTCCTGTTCTACCAACAATCACAACAGTCAACCCCTAGACCCTACTCCAACCTCGAGAGATCCACCTCCGGCTCCCGAAACCTGAACAACAACCGGACGGTCGGGTCGCAGATCGACTCCGTCCCATGCATGAAGTTCGGCGGTCGCTCAGTCCGATCTTCGAACTTCCAGTCGTAGCGCATCAGCAGATGCACGAGCAGGATCTTGATCTCGTTCGCCGCGAAGAACCGTCCGGGACACGCGTGCATCCCGTGACCGAAGGCGTAGTGCTCCGCGCTCGTCGTCACGAACTGGAACCGGTGCTCGCTTCCGGGGGATTGTCGCCACTTGTAGAAGCGCAGGCCGTCGTAGACATCCGGGGAGGTGTAGATGGACGCGTCCTCGAAGATGTGGGCGGAAACGAGCATGCTTGCGCCCTTGGGGATGCGCATGCCGTCGGAAAGGGAGATCTCTTTCGTGGCGAGGCGGTTGAGAAAGGCTGGTGGATGTTATGGTTAGCATGGTGGGTATAATTGGTAGGGGTTGTGGTGTTTGGCTGTTTACCAATTCCGGCGGCGTTCATTCGCTGACTTTCCTTCAGCACGCTGTCCATTTTCTTCATCTTCGTGAGGCTGGTCTTCTTCAGAGAGCCGCCGTCTTCGGTAATGACCGTTTGGATCTCGTCACGGAGTATCTGGATGTATTCGGGGTAGGCCGTCAGGTCGTACATCACGTTGGTCAGGAGGTTGGACGTCGTGTGGATGGCGGCCATAGTGAGGCCCATTTGCGCCTGCGCCACGTTCAACGGACGTCCGTCTGCAAGCTCATGAAACCAGTCCAGTGTATCCTCGTGGCTTCGAGGCGGGTTCTCTGCGGGGAGCCGCCCCTCTCGAATGAGTCTTCGCCTTTCGATCTCTTTGTTGACGATCGCGGACCCAATCTTCACATGTTTGCGCACCCCCTGGACGGTGGGTATGAACCAGTGCACTAACGGTTGAAGAATCGATGGCCAAGCTCGAAGATCGCGCGCACCCACGAAGGCGTCGATGGTGAAGTTGACGGAGACATTCAGCCACTGTTCGTCACGACAGATTTTCTCACCCAGAAACACGAGGGTAGATAACCGTGCAACGATGTATGGTATGTCCATAGCGAAGCTGACCGGAGTCCATGCTGTGTGCCACCATGGTCAGTGTTGAGCAGTCCGTCTGAGAGGGGGAGCACATACCATCACTTTTGGGAAGCTTTTCTCGTAGCACGGAGCTAGTTTCCTTCGATAAAGGAGTCACGAGTTGACCTGAGTATCTTCTAGCGGTGCCACATGCCGACTTGAAGCGTCACTTACCGAGAGAATGGGTAAGGCGCTTGTTGATCACATCCATTTGAATCGGCTCTATCTTCTCGAAGACCTCGAAGCCGGGAATTTTAGATCCAAAAAAGAACTGCTCGGATATGACTTAGATCGGCTCGGCCCATGCTATACCACAAGGGTAGAGACTACCTTCTTGTTCGCTTCGTCGAAGCTGAGATGCGGGTGGTTCTTGACCTCATCCACAAGGCTGGGGTGGAGCACGATGGTTGGATCGGAGGCTGCGACCAGTTGAAAGACCTTTCTGCCCTATATCGAGTCCCTATTAGCGCATGGTACAAGGCACCTGTGAAAACTCTACCCTATTTGTCCTGGGCTGAACAATGCACGAACCTGGCTGAACCCCTCCTCGAAGAGCTCCTTGGCGGATGTCACGAATCGCTGCTTAGCCTTGCTGTTCGAGAGCTCCCATCTGCTTTTCCCGATCAGGGGAATGTTTTTGTAAGGAAAGCTTTCAGTGGACTCCTGAGAAAATCTCAACACCAAGACCAAGAGAAGGGCCACGACTGCGCCTTGCAGCAGATGGTAGCTTTCCAGCTGCTCGATGATGAAAGCCATTGTTGACTGGCTGAGTGACTGACATTTGACAGAACGAGGGAGAGCGACGAGGTTTAAATAAGAGGATACGTCGGGTTGACATCGCTTCCTCGAGCACGGATCTCAAGCTTTCTTGGTAGCCTGGGCAGGCTGCTTGCCAATCATGAGTCGTTCACTGATTCCATCGCTAGCAGCCCGTCGATAGGGTGTCAGACTCGGATGCGAAAGCTTCAAAGCTATCGTGGGCCCTGTCTAGGACTGGATCCACTCGATACGCCCAATACGTTGAAGGCCTCGAGCCAATCTGGATCCTATACCGTTGCAATGGCGAGTCAGCGACTGGTCGCTGAATGGAGCACGACAGATAAGTTATGGTAGATCAGATAAAAGACAGACAGGCGCTGGTAAGTTTGCTGCCTGCAAAGCCAAAATTTGTTCCAAAGTTTCGATAAAACTCGATGATAGGCGCGGGGATTACCTAGCAGGGCACATTGGATGTGCGGCGGTTGGAGATCCTCGACCCCGACATTACTTATTTTGGTGTCAGAGTAGGAATCTGACTTTTGGATGTGGACGATGTGGACTGGAATATCATGAATCGAGGCTCGATAATTGGACACAACAAAGAAGGTCCTAGAGTGTGAGGTCTATTAGACGAGGTTTCAACAGTTGGCAAGTCACTGTAGGTAGGGAGGTAGGTACCTGATCGTTAGGATAAGTACTAATAAGAGTAGGAGAAAAGCGGGTCTGGCCGTCTTTAGTTACATTGAATTGGTCCCATGCTATTTGTCCGCTCGTGTGCAGAGGTGGTTCAGTGTGGATCCGTCCATGGATGGATCCAGCCTGGAGGATGAAGGGAACGTGCGATGTGGTCGATCACCGTACTCGAATACGCCCACGGCTGCCTCAGCTTCTCACTCGGCTCCTTTCCGTGCCGCTGTCTTTTTCTTCCCAACTACACTGACTACACTGACTACACTGACTACACTGACTACACTGACTACACTGACTACACTGGCCACACTGGCGCAGACACGGCACAAGGATCCGAGATTCCAAGCCTAGATTCCAATAAAGCCTAGAGCCCTCGCCTAACCTAGAGTAACTACATGAGAAGTTACTAATTATCCTAAGGACCTGACATTGATTGCCCGATGTCAGCAACAACGCCAAGCTTGAAACTTCCTCACGAACTGACCAGTGGGATGGGCTTCATGGAGGAGCAGTGGGTGCTGTCATCTCTTCCCTACTCCAAGCATGAACACACAAGGCCATGATGTATCTCTAACTCTCTCAGACTGCCACTCCCGCGCGAGGGCACTTCTTCCGATGCTCGCAGCTTAAAAGAAACACCTTATCCGAATGGACTGAACTCGGCATCTGTGGGGGTTTTCATGTTCGTTGGTCGGGATGATCATCTTCTGCCCTCACTTGTTGGTTCCGGCAGGTGGAGGGGACATCATGGAGCCGACGTACAATGCAACACCACAAACCGAGGCGAACCCCGCGTCGTCCACGCAATCAATATACGTACGAAAGAACAGGCATCAACTTGGCAGCTGAGTATAAAGATGATCCAAGACCAAGTCTCACCAGCAACTTAGGGGTAGCATAACTCTTAATAGATTTTCTTTGCCATTTATACTCTCCCGAATCGCACCTTCAGACTGAATCATGGCATCTCTATCGCTCAGGCAGTTTCTCGAGTACATTCGAGCCTTCAATGCCAAAGACTACCAGAAACAACACTCCTTCTACCACCCAGATGTCCGTCTTGTCCTTCCCGACCCGGAGGTGGGAACCCTCGTAGGGTCCGAAGGCATCATGAATCACTATGCTGTACTTCATGCCACCGCGGAGGAGACCGTCGTCCCTATACTGGTCATGGTTGACCAAGGGCGCATTTTCTTCGTGATGGAGACATATTTTCGCTACTGCCAGGCCACAGACCGCGCTGTCCACGGGTACAACGCACAAGCCGGAGATGTGATCAAGGTCACCGTGTGGGCACTGTACGACATGGACGGTGGAAAAATGAAGCACATTACTTGCAACGGGCTCCACCATGAATTCCTTGGCACGGCGGATGTGAATCTACCGATCAACGAGAGCTGGAGTCGAGCAGACAGTACGGTCAAGCGTTGCTGGGGCTCTGCTTCGCTGCTCTAGAAAGTATTCGTGCTCCGACTAAAATACTGGAAATCATACTCATACATCTTTCAATATTTATCAATACACTTCCTACCATAGTATACACATCATCAACCCACAACCTTAAACTACAAACGCACCAACCTCACGACCCACAAACCAACCCTTCCCTTTGATAATCTCGAAACACATCCTCCGGCGACCCCTCCGCCGTGCCCAACCTCTGAAACCCTTTACGCATCGACTCTTTCCCATCTTTCTCCTTCCTCTTGTTTGGCGCCATCCACCCCTTTGGACTACCCATCGCCGACGCCGCCGTCGCAAACTGCAGCCGCCGCCTCACCCGCGACGCCAGCCCGAGCTTTTTGGTCGTGGCCTTCCGGGAGACGATCTCCACGCACGGCGACGGCTCCTCTTCTGTTTGTTCTTCATCATTATCGTCCTCGTCCTCGTCCTCGTCCTCAGCGCACAGCGTGTTTCGTCGCTGGTGAGTGAATGAAATGCTCTCCGGTAGGTAGATCCTATGGTGGTGGGTCGTGGAACTGGACGCCGTCCGCGACTGTTGGTGACTTAGGAGGGGTCTTCTGTACGAGCTGCTGCTCTTTTGGGATCGGGGTTGTGTGATTGCTGCTGCCGCTGGGGTGGGACACAGGGGGTGTTGTTGCTGGGCGAGCTGTTTCTTGGACGTTTTGGTCTTGATAGGGCTGAATCGTTTGCGACCAGGGGGCTGAGTTACCTTACGGGTTAGTGTCTTCTTGTCAGGAAACGCTGAGATGTCTAGTCTAAGAAGGGTAGATGTTTGTTAAATAACGAAGTTGCGCAGTGAGCTGCAACCTGTATATAGTAGTTCCGTACCGGGTTTGGTGGTGTCTGCGGGAGACGATGCGTAAAGCAGCCGTCCTCATCCTTGAAGCGGGACTGTTTCGCCTTGCTGGGCGAGGATTTGAAGGGCGAGCTGACCCTCATGGCTGTCAGGCGGCCGGTGATTTCTGGTCTGGTTGTCTGTGGTGGTGGGTGGTGAGATGTCTTGGAATGTGTGGGAGTCGGTGGGGGCACATGGTGGTGCTATTGCATAAGACCTTGATGACAGAATTCAGATACAACGGGCAGAGAGGAAGAGAGGGAGGGTGTGTCGGGCTGTGTCGAAAGGGCCTCCTTGCTAAATACTTGCTTGGGGGTGTGTCTGGACCATTCTTTGGATGTTGTTGTGGCATAAAATTGCATTTCGGGAGGAATGTAAAGAATGCAAGTCGGTTTTGTGTCGGTCTCTGGTCGTGGATCGGGCTATTATGCTGGAGGAAGATGAGATTCAGGTCTAGCGATGAGTAACGTGATTGTTTGTTTTCAATATCCACGAATGGATACAATAGCTAATGGTTCGGTTGACAGAAGTCTGCCACACATTGGACCGGAAACTTGTCAAATGAGTTGCGGACATTCCTCGCTGATCCAAAGCATGGTGTTCAAGTCAATAGACCCCGCATTCTCCGGATGAAAGAACCGACCTACTGTCTCGCTTCAATTATCCACTACTTGCTGGACGAACTAGGTGAGGAAGTGCCTCTCCTATACTAGCTGTCGGGTTGTGCTACTGTTGCCCTCGCAGAGGGTCCGCGCTTGCCGTGGATATATTGATGAGTCAGTAGACGATAATAGCTGTTATTGCTTATACGTGCTGTAAAACAGTCACTCTAAATCGTCCTTAGCAGATGGTGGTCGTGCCGTTACTCGTAGTATATAGATCCATCCATAGTGGTACAACAAGCCTTGTTCAGACTGGCTCCGCCGCGAACTGACAAGCTCAATGCTTTTCAACTACGTGACATATAAGCATTCAAGCCCTTGGTCTCTGACATCGAGCAAATCAAACTCCTTATCTCGAGTTATTTAGTGGTAGCAAATACTTGAGTATTTCATGGAGCAATAGCCAACCAATAAGTTCCGAGAACGATTACATCAAGATGAACCGATGGTGGGTGGCAACATGACGTGAAGCTGCTTGCTCGACAGACCCAGGTACAGCTCCTCGCAAAAAGTATACTGAACTTAGCAAGCGTGAACTCAACAATCTCCCCTACTGAAGATTCAGTGACTTATACAGCAATAAATTGCAACCTCACGCCTAATTCCCTTTGTAATCCCGCACCAGCTACTATATATCACTCCCGACCCGAAACGTCACCACCCTACACCAACAACACCCCCAACCCCAAAACAAACCAACCCCCACAAGAATAAGAGAAAACACTACGAAATGACCGAAACAAGCCCCATCTACAACCTCATAGCCGCCATGGACGCCGAAGACGACGCCACCGCCGCCTTGGATGACGACGACGCCACAACCGACTACGGCGCCCGCGCCGTCCGCAGCGCCGCCATCCCAGCAAACGAGGCCGGCGAAAACCGCCTCGCGGACCATGTCTCCGTCCAGGTCTCCGCGCCGAGGGAGGATCCAATGGTTCCGCGTCGCCGGCGGCAGGAGATGTCGACGGCCGGGGGCGGGTATCAGTTGCGGGAGGTGGAGGAGCGGGCGGATGGGTCGAGGCGCGTGCATCGCGAGTACGAGGATCCGGCCACGGGGGTGAGTTATGTACGGGATTTGGATGGGTGATTGTTTTCTGCTGGGAAGGAGGAGGGGGGCGAGGGATTTGGGAGTGGGGATCGTTTTTGGGCAAGGAGTTAACGGGATAGTATGATAACTATATGTCAGGTTGGAGAACAATGTCGAGTATAGCAGTAGCGTCTGGACGGAGGGACTTCTGAACTCTCTGGACAAGCTCACTCAAATGGGAATTCGGGGTCTGTGACGCTACCTCCGAAAGTGACAGACCTAACCTTTGATACGAATACAGTCCACTGTAACCAATCTATTCAATTCAAGCTTTTGATACCCCTTCCCTCCTGGCTCACAAAAGATAGAAGGGAGTCAAGAAACATATAATTAACTCCAGCCCATGCTATGCCTAAGCGCCATATTACGAAAGTCCACACACACGAAGGGGGAATCCCCTGACAAGAAGAAAAGAACCACCGAGCAAAAAAACCCCCAGGAGACGGCGAAGCCAGATTAAGCCTCTCCATCCGACGTCTCCTCCTTCGACTTGCTCTTCTTCTTCTTTTTCTTTTCCTTCCGGTCCGAGGCGTCGGCATCCGCCTCCAACTCCGCAGCCTCCGACTCGCGCTTCCGCTTCTTCTTCTCCTTCTTCTCCTTCTTTTCCTTCTTGGCCTTCTCGGCCGCCTCGAGCTCCTCGGGCGCCACGAACGCCTTCTCGCGCTCCTTCATCTTCTCCTCCCGCTTCACCCGCTGTCTTTCCATGATCTCCTCCTTCTGCGCCCGGTCCTTGGCCTCCTTGGAGAGGAAGTACTCGCCGGACTCGATCTGCAGATCCACCTTGCTCTTCTCCGGGGCCGGGGGGAAAGGCGTGTACACCTTCTTCGTCTTGTCCGTGACCTTGAACGGCATGCGACGCTTCGACAGGGTGCGCTTCTTGAAGTTGGGCAGGAACCGGTCCCACGACTCTTCCGCCAACGAGGGATCCTTGGCCAGCTCGCGCTTGATCATGAGCTCCTTGATGTGGTAGATCGGGTGGATGTTGGCCATGCAGTCGTTGATGACCTTGCGCACTTCCTTCAGTCCCTTGTAGGGTCCCATCGCGGCGACCGTGTTACCCTGCACCAGGATGTAGGTGCCGGTGAGGAGCTCGAGCGCCTTGAGGGTGGAGCCGCCGGGTCCGAGGATACGTTGGCGGCGCTTGACGAAGCGCTCCTTGTTACGGACTTGGTTGCGGATCTTGATAACGTCGCATGCGACTTCGTCGTCGAGAATCTTCAGGGCCTGGAGGATACTGTCAATCAGCGAGAAGTTTCTTATTTTTGGATGTAGCGTCGGGGACAGGAATATTTCCTACCTGTTGCACCGGGACACTTCTCGACAGAAGCTTGATCAAATCGCGCGCCTTGAGAATGGCAGCAGGATCAAAGGTCTTCCGCGTCGTCTTGACCGTCATGCTACCCTCGACCAAATCGAGGGTACAAGCAATGCCATATTTCTCCAGGGATCTCGTCACGAGGGGCCAGGCCTCCTTGAGATACTGTTCGCGGTACTTGGGGAACAGAGTCGCAAACGAGGATTCCTCGGCGAAACTACCGGCGACATTGTCTTCGGCGTTGAAAGGTTCGACCTGGTCGCAGAGTTGCGAGGTTAGCATGCGTTTTTGTCGCCAGTACATCTCGAAAAATCTTTTTCTTTTCTTTTCTTTTCTTTTTTTTTTTGGTATGGGATCATTGCACCAACCTTCCATTTGTCGATATCATCCGTATCCCACGGCTTATCTCTCTTGTATGTGGAGGGCATGTTGAGTCCTATTTGCGACAAACAGGGAGGAAGACTCTGGATGGATCTGCAATTCGATGCGAAGAATGATTGATGATCGAATTGGCGGCCAACTTTTTCTGAGGCGCTTCCGCCCCGCGGGCACTTACCGGTTTAGGTAGTGCTGGTGGCCAGGAACCCCAGGCCAACACAAGGCATTAAGAGAGTGGCTCCGGAGCCTGGAGCGATCGATCGAGGCTCATTATTTGTGAACATCAATCAGCTCGTCTACCATATTCGATTTCGTTACGTTGCCACACTACGTATGTACGGTATAGGGTGCAGAAATTGTATCAATTTTGACTCTGTGCGCAGACAAGAACTTCCCCTTTTGCACAGTGAGCGCATCTCCACCCCTGATGTATCATATTCCCGTCGAAGCTAATTCATGACATCTATTGGAGCTGCACTGCTCAGTATGCAAGGCTTCTACTGCATCCATTCTATCAATCGTGTGTTTTGACGTTGCAGTTCAGGAGTACCGGAGCCGAGCGAAAGTTATTGGAACAAAAGAAACCGATAACGGTCTCATAGACCCGACGCAATGACTCGCGCGAATAATTGGTTCCTTGGCCGCGATTTAAAGTGCATTGAGCCGCCCAATAATGCTCAGGCAGCTTCGCAGCTTTGGCCGAGCACGGTATATAGTGTACGTAGGCACATAGAAAACTTGGAGATTGAGTCACAAGAATAGTTGACACAGTTCGATCGATTGGTGTAAGGTCTTGCTTGGATCTGAGCTCTGGATGCACGAGTATTATCAGGAGTGAATCAGCAGGCTGGAGAGTTCACCTAGCCTTCCTGTTCTTCGTGGAAACTATTGTTGCTAGGCTATGGCTAAGGGAGGGAGCGAGCCCTGATCAGCCATTCGTAACTTGCCTGAGAACGAGCTTGAACACTCAGTCAGCATCTTGATCCAAGTTCCCAAGGGCAGTTGAGCCACTAATCGCATCAATGACAATGTGGGTCGCGGGGTATGCGGACGAGAAAATAGACCTGTCAACGTCGTGGGAGGTGTTTGGTTAAGTGCATATTTAGACTCCTCAAACCAGCGAGGCGATCCCGTGTGTCTGGTTCCAAGTTCCGGACCCGAAGCGCCAAATCGTGGACAGTCCTCGAACCTTCCCTTTTCCCTCGCTGACTTTGCTTCCTCCCTTGCCTGAACTTCTCCCTTATCTCGGTTGTAATCCCATTGTCATTCTTTCGTATTAAGAATCAATATGATTCAAATCAGGTGCGCCGTTTCTGCGGACTTCCATGGCGCACTTCAAGATAGTGCGTCATCGATGTCCTTCTATCTTCGGGGACTTCGTGCAATCTTGCAAGCTGGTGGTTTTGCCAGCACATACTTGTCACAGACCCTTCGCTCAATTATGGCCAGCATGGTCGCAGAAAACCGAGATCATCTCGCAGTAGCAGACTTTGTGCACACTGCTTTCGTTTTCTTCGAGTCGAGTTGAACAAGAAAGGCCATTCGACTGTGTATTCACCAACGAAGCCCGTCGTATGAGCGTGTAACTGTATTTGATCAGCACGCTACACCACAGACTCACAAAGGCCTTGTAAGAGCTGTCCCCTGTCATAAGCCAATACCTATGATAGATAGTTGGCTCTTTACCTGCGCCAAAAGAGATCGACGTGGTGCTCGCTCGCGATTATCTCAAGACCCCACGACCAGCCCCCAACTCAAATTAGGAGATAAAAGCACGGGCGGATTCAATCTCGAGTCTTCAATTCAACTGCTTATCTAGAACAAGTATCAATTTGTCTGAGCGAACAGCGAAGGCTCGCCCCTCATGACCAGTCCGTCCATGGAAACTCGAGTACAACAAGCGGCTTGAGACCAGCTCCGGACCAGAGCAGAATCATTGACAAACGTCACGGCTGAAGCCCCGAATGTCTACCGAGGCTTCCTCCCAATACAAACATACCTAAGTCGTCAGCGCCCAATTGACAGTGCAGTGGAAACGATCTACTTACAGTGGAAAGTAGGCTTTCAGGCCCGGTCTTCCTGCTTCTTCCTGTGCTCTGGAAATCATTCGCTGAAACTCTTCATAAGGCATTCTCAGACGTTGAGTCATCGGATACAACGCCAATGCTGATAGCAGCTGTTTGGTACATTCGAGGTTGGCTGCACCTATGTCCCGTGCTCTTGGATCTAGTCTGGTATCAGTTCCATGATATACGATTCTCATGCATTGGAAGATTTACCACTGGACCACCCAGAGAGAGGAAGAGGGATCATTTTTGCATCCACCTGGTCCATTCCTGCTGCCACCATAAGGTCTCTCAAGTGCGTTCCTACACGAAGGTCCTTTGTATCATTCAACGACTGCATGAACTTGGTGCTCCATTGTCTCAACGCATGATCCTCGGTGAGGGACCCATTGTCTGATTGCACATTGAAGTACATCTCCACCATCTGGACCCAGCCACCCGGCTTCAGAACTCTAGTTTTCTCACATAAAAGTCAGCTTATGTCGTCAAAAAAGAAATCAACGATTCCATGACCCTTTCGCCACATGCCAGACCTCTTGATATCCCAAATATAAGACAGCCATCTGGCTCGGTCAATGCCTGTCGCTTGCATCCTCGAATGAACGAGATCGAAATGATTCGACGGAAAGGTAAAGGGGCGATTCAGATCGTCGACCTACAACGCCTTCCATCAGCATTTTCTGACGCAAACGCCATGGGAAGGGTATCTGGTAAGCAAGCCAAAAAAAAACCTCATTAGACGGAAGAAGGTTCTCATCGACTGGTATGCCGAATGACTTTTCTCCAGACCCAGGGTTAGGAGTCGTACCTGAAACCATAGATTGTCCGGAGCATAATCAGGGCTCATCTGGGGCGATATGTCGACCCCAATGACCTTCACACAGTGGTTAGCGAAACTGAGTGTCGAAGGTGATGTATGTGGCCCGACCTCGCATTGTGGATATTGCTCCGCTACTTCGACCGCCCAAGCTCCTGTACCGTGGCCGCAATCGAGAATCCTCTCGGGGTTGTCGCTCGGCAGGGGTGGGAAGATGAGCCGGTCGTCAAATGCCTTATTGAAGACTAAGTGTTGAAGATCGAGACGTTCCACTTCATCCTAGGATTTTCGAGGTCAGTGACGCACGGATTTGCGGCGGAGGTCCCTGATTATACATCGTCCACCGGCTGAAAATAGATTTTGTGTTCGATGGAATATCTCTGGAAATCGCGATCATGGACTGTGATGAGCTGAAGAAACTTGGCATCCAGGTCCTCTGTCTGCGAGTCGGGACTCCTTGAAGACAAATAAGGATTAGCTCCTGATGCATCACTCACGAATGTGGTACCAGGTTACGTGCGTCATTTTGATATTTCCAAGCCTGTGGCAGATTTGAGCAGGTCTTATTCTCCGAAGTGGTCCAAGTCAACAAGGGATGACAACGGGTGGGCCCGGTCAACCAGTACGGCTTTGTACACTGGGACCCAAGAAAGAAGAGACATATATAGTGCGTTTCGAATTTGATGAAAGTGATCGATGTGGCAGCCGAAAATAACGCGTTGGAAATCTCCTTGAACCCGCCGGAAAAGTGCGTATCCTACCTCTTATGTGTGAGCTGAGCGAAGTATTGGGATGCGGGACTCCATTGCCCGTACTAATGTACGGATGGTGAGAAAGCCCGTTCAGCCCGATACCCAGCGTCAGGCTTGGTGCTGATGAGGACCAGAACCAAAATCATTGGCAGAGAAAGCCTGAAAAACGCCATCCAGCCTGTCGGATGCTGAACGAAGATCGTCCGTTCGTTTCTGCAATACACATTGTCAATGCTCAATGATGGCTGAGACCTCGGCGCTTTGCCTCAATGGCATAGCAGAATTGACAGTCTGAGCTGAAACGATTACACGACTATGTAAAATGGAAAGGGGAAGGGAGGGGCCGGGAAAAGCCTTCTTGGAGGGGTCACCAGTACTTCCGATACCACCCTTGGAAGCAGACGGCCAGTCTGGCAACGTTCCTCGTGCCCATTTCTCGGGGCCTGTCCATCGCTCAGTGCCCGGAAGCCAACCGGCACGGTCACACAGTGGCTCGCTTGTATTCTAGTACAAAGTTCAAGCGAAGGATCCAGGCCGTCATGACCCTGTCAAATCACGGATTGAGAATACCACCAATACTACCGAGCCTGATCAGTTTACTCGGGTTCCTGAATCATCCTCCGTTTCCTGCGTTAATACCTTTCTGCCCTTTGCCAAACAGCCCCCTCCAAAACCGATTCATCATATCGGTCCAGGAGAAGCAAGGTGCCAGCTGAACAATCAGAGCGTTGGCGTGGTGAGCTATTTTACCAGCCTGCGTGAGGGCTACACAGAAGAATTATTCCGTTAAAATCCGATGCAAGCGAGCTACTGAGGCGATCGATCTCTGCGGAGACTTTCAACAAGAGACACCTTCAGTATTTGTGGCTGCATGTCTTGCTTTCCAGGGTCATTGAAAACCCAAGGCTAAAGTAGAAAGAATCGGAAACCGGAGGAAAGTGATGATCAGAAAAACTTCGAAGCCAAGGAGGCAGTCCGGATCAACGGCCTTGGTGTCATGCACGAGGTACCGCAGGGTTGTTTGGGTGCATAACATGCACACAGCCAAGGAGGGGTTCGGCGCAGTAGCGCGGACTTTTGGTCAGCCACTATATCCAGCATGATGGTGGCTTTGCTCCGCGTTTGAATAACAGCAGGGATCAGATGGTCATGAAATCATGAAGGTTCTTACATCCAAGGTGATTGGGAGGAGGGACTGAGGATTTCGATCTGAAGCACAGGCACGGTAAGTGATCACCGGGTCAATCACTTTTTTCCTTTTACGGGGGCCACTAAAATATGGGTATTCGTAGTGTCTTTATTATTAACGCAAGTTGGACGTGAGGACATTTTTTTTTCTCTCGATCAGAGTTCTTCTGTTTGATTTCAATCCACCGCTTTCACATCTACACCGCTCCTTTCCTGGATTGCTCAATCAATCAATGGAAAATTAGCACTCAGTGTTGGAAACCCTCGACAAACGAGATTGAAAGCCCCCTAAGGTGGCCGGGTCGACGTCAAGATTTTGTAAAGTTCCAGGCATGCGACTACCCATGAAGAATAGACCAATAGCGTCATCTACGCGGGTGGCTTAATTCCAACACATCCACAATGAGAGACACTCGACTGGGGCCTCCAATGAACGTGCACTCTTCAAACTTACCATGAACGGCATAGAGCCGGCTGCAAATAACAGCGACTGGCCACATCGGCGCAGCCTCTTCAGGGTCGACGGCCCGATTGACCAAAATGGGATGTCCTACTCAAGAATGGGCCGCGGACAAAGCGATGACGAAGCATTGACTCCGCTACAGCTGGTCACCTGAGACAGGACTCTGCGCAGCGACTTTGGCGGTGGCCTCGCCTTTGGCTTTGACTCAGTTGCTGTGGGAAAGGGTGTAGAAAATGGACCGTGCCAAATAGCTCATTAGGGTTACGCTAGACACAGAGGAGGGTTAACTTAATGTTCTGTCCTCTAAGTTATTCGTCCCCTGCACACGGACAGGGAAGGGAGTTCATGCACGTCAAGAGGGACTGTCAGACGGCGTTGGAATTAGAGCCATCCAAGTTGTCGGTACGACTACGTAGTAGGTAAGTAGGTAAGTAGTACGGACTAACTAAGTAGAGACGAAGGGACAAGATAACCTACAGGATAGTGCAGATGCTACAGGTCTGGGAGCGATCCCAGAACCATGGTTCAGTCGCGGGAAGCTGGAGGCCTTCCCGTCGCGCCCTTCGGTAGTTTAGTTTAGGGGGAGCTGGACCCGCTAAGTCAACGGGGACTGGGACTGGGAAGATGCAATGAACCCTCCCTCCCTCTCGATTTCTGTCTTTCTTCCTCCGACTTTCTCCTCCATCTTTGTGGTTCTGTGAGAGTCTTGGATGATGATTCGTGTTGTGTTCTCGGCTTGGCACCCCATTCATGTCGTCTCGTATCGGTCTCAGTCTGCCAAAGCCCAACTGACTTATCGTAAAGAACTCACGAGTGGCCAGAATGGAAATACCATTTACTGCAACTAATGACAACTAACATTACCACAGTATACGCCTGTGCGTCGCGGTCGGATGAGGATTATGCTGGCTGCTGGCCAGTGAAGAAAGAAAAAAATCATTTCTTTCCCAGCATTTGTTCAGTGATCCATCCCCCTAGACCCAAAATCCCACTCCCAAGAAAATCAACAATCATCCGTGACCCGACCCTCCCAAATGTATTGTATCGGTTCCAACTCTACCACTAACTAATCCGGCATCTCCACCCGAGAGCTGAGCCGGCCGAGCCGTGTTTTCCACCCGATGATACCTCCCAAGCTCTACTCTCAGAGCACCAGATAGAACCGACGATCCATGGGTCTTGGGTCCTATCCTGTATCTGGGGTATTTTATGTTGTTGCATGAGCCGTGAGAAAACGTATCCTTGACCTACTTTTTCTCTGATTTCGCCGATCCGACAGCTAACGTTCTGTCTATGATACCGGGACTGGACTATGGAGAAGGCACGCGCATCGGGAGTTGTAGAAGGATACACGTGTACAAGTACCATCGTCTCACTATGATCAGTTACACTTCTGGGTAGAAAGATCACGATAATATTAATTCATCATCTCCTGAGCTGGATTCAATTCGTTGCATTGCCAACTAGGCTAAACTAAAAAAAAATGGGGGTTGGGTATTTTTTTTCTCTGAAGCTCGTGGGGAATTAGCATCATTGCATGGTCGTTGGGGTCGTCTGATTGGTTGGTCTATATACACCTTCCGGGATTCGGGAGGGCTTGTAAGAAGAGCCGCGAAGGTTTATCGATGATTTAGGATAAGGTCGGGGTGGAGGAGAAGTGGTGGGGTCAGATAGATGAGGTCCAGTCTAGCGTGGCCGGATCGATGATGTGCGGATTTGATACGCAGGGACTCGAAGGGGTTGTCGAACCGAGATCCGCGGTTTTTGGCACATCTTCACTCATCAGCGTAGTAGAGTTGGGAGTGGTAGCGACGCTGTAGGAGGTGGATTGGTTTTGCCCGTCAAATTGCGGGTGCGCTGGCGAGGCACTTTGACTGGCGTGTTCGATCACGAGACTGCATGCGAGGTTGGAGGACAAGCCTGTGTGGGAGTTGGACTCTCCGTCCGCAAGTGCTGGCCTCGAGTGCAGACAGCATAAGGCGAGGAGAGGGGTAGGGGTGTTTCCCGTAAGATGCTCAGTATTCTTTGCTGATCGCACTCAGAGAATGTGCTAGCTTCAGAAGAACAACGCTCTCCGTAGCGGCATAATAGTTCAAGCTGCAAGCAGATGTCAGTAATCGCCACATCTCTTTTACTTAGATACTCACCTGTCCATCAAGATCCGCAAATGTCGGCTGAAATGGTCCTCGACTCGTTTGAGCGACTCGTCAATCTTGTCAACTCGCGTGGGATCGTATTCACGACCCATTGTCCTAGACAAGTCGGGGTCGGCCAAGGCAAGGTTGCGATTGAGATTGCCGTCGGCCCAGCTAGCGAACGTATTGCAGCCTATCATCAGTCGATGATGGACCTGGGTAGTCTGTGAGCAAGCGAGAGGGGCAGCCTGGGTAAGCTCGACTGACCTTCAGTAGTTTGGCCTGGGTCAGCATGCACTCTTTGAGACAAGTATCCAAGAAATCCACATGGTCCTGCATCAGTTCATCCACCGTACGGTTGGCCTGCTTGGTACCGTTGACGGTGACTTCCGAACCATCTGCGTCGGTTCCATTCACCCGGTTCATCAGAATCTGCCAATTGGGCTCGATGACCTCCGCCGTGCAGAAGTAGAGCAGCTGTTGGATGAATAACAGCATCTTCGAGCGCAGGGTCCACGCGCGTCGTTTCCACGTCTCCAATCGTCGGTCAGAGGACTTGTGTCGCCAGGCGTCAGCCTTGCTTTGCTCAAGCCAAGATGCGCCGAGCATAGTTTCAACGTGGCGCAATGACAAGATGTGCCGGAAGACAAGTTGATACCGTAAAACTGTCTTCCGACTGATAACGAGAGACAACGGGAAGGGTACCAGATAGTCGAGCTCGAGCGCATCGAATCCATTGATTTTCGTATCATTTTCTCCAGCTTGCGTCGAAGGGGCTTGAAATTTTTCGAGTGCCGCCTCCGGATCATCTTGGTTCATGCCGGAGACGCTCACGACCTGCATCAGCCATTTCGTGAGCCCGACCTTATTCATACGGACCTTAACGTCTTCTTTGAAAGGGTCCTGAGCGGCTATACTTCCGGGCTGACGTAGGACTAAGTCGAGAAGCGACTGAAGCTTGCTCTCGTTGACATCCTTGGCGGGCCT